CAATCATTCCTTTTTTTTTTTTTTTTCTTTTTCCCCTCTCTGAACTTTATTATTTTCTTATTGATTCTTTTTGGTTATATATAACATAGGATTCATTTTGACCTAATTATATAATCATAGAATATAATTTGCTCTAATTCAGTCCCCAGTACTACACCTTCCCTTCCCAGCATCCCTCCCACGTTCTCTTTCCTATACTCTACTAATCTTTCTGCTATTTATAGTTTTTTTTAACTAGTGCCTCATTTTTTAATGAAAAGATTATAATAATACGTAAAAATGGGCATTCAAATATTTTTTATATCATAAATATATCAAAGTTTCTTGAAAAGCAGTACAGTGTGTATGTTGAAAAACACACATGGACCTGAGAATAACTTCTTAGAACCCTTGCCTTTCATTGGTTCCTATCAGTGTGACCACTGTCATGGTACTTGAGCTTTCTTTCTTCAAAGAAAAATTAAATTAAGAACCCTTTCATAAGAATATTCAAAAATATAGAGATAATGTTTGTAAATAAGCCATGATTTATTAAGTGTTAAATAAATGTGAGCTTCAATTCTACTAATACCTGACACTGACTTTTAAGTATAATTTCTGACAACTTAAAATGTTTTCTTTTCTATGCCAAGTAGTAGACATGACTGTTTTTATATCATTCTCTGGCTTTCAGCACACCTGAAATATTTCCTAATTTTTGAAACAATAAAAAATTAACTTTTACTAAAAATCAGCCAGAATTTTTAATACTTCTCATTTGAAGGGTTATAAAGCTCTGTCCCAAAGCACAAATTTAAACATGAAAATCAGATTATCAGTCCATAAATGTCTTAAATTGAATGAGAAAATAAAGATTTTTATTTTTAAAAAGATTTGTGTTACCATAACATAAATTAGAATTTTAATATTTCTTACCTCCTATCTAGTCAGGTGGAAAGAATATCAATAGATTAGAAAACAAGATACCAATAAAGGTATTTCTATTAATAAAATACCTTGCATGAGGCCTAGGTTTGTCCCTGGTACTGCTAAAAAAACAAAAACCAAAAGAACAAAAACTTCATATCATTCCAGTCTGATTTTAGACATCCATATCAAAATTTCATGATCATACCACTTGCTTAGGTAAAGGATGGTACAGAACCAACTCCCTGGATGCTTCTGAGGAAGACCAAGGCAAGAAAATACAAGTTTCAAGGCCCTGGATCCCCAGCATCAAAAAAGAAAAAAATCCTTAAGAAAGCACTAGTCTAGCTGGGCCTGGTGGTGCACATCTGCAATCCCAGCAGCTCGGGAGGCTCACACAGAGGGATCACAAGTTCAAAACCAGCCTCAGCAAAAGTGAGGTGCTAAGCAACTCAGTGTGACCCTGTCTCTAAATAAAATACAAAATAGGGCTGGAGATGTGGCTCAGTGGTTAAGTGTCCCTGAGTTCAATCCCAGGGGAGGGAGGGAGGGAGGGAGGGAAGGAAGGAAGGAAGGAAGGAAGGAAGGAAGGAAGGAAGGAAGGAAGGAAAGAAGGAAGGAAGGAAAGAAGGAAGGAAGGAGAGAAGGAAGGGAGGAAAGAAAGGAAGGAAGGAAGGAAGGAAGGAAGGAAGGAAGGAAGGAAGGAGAAAGAAAGAAGAAAAGAAAGGAAGGAAGGAAGGAAGGAAGGAAGGAAGGAAGGAAGGAAGAAGGAAGGAAGGAAGGAAAGGAAGAAAGGAAGAAGGAAAGAAGGAAGGAAGGAAGGAAGGAAAGAAAGAAAGGAAGAAAGAAAGGCAGAAAGAACGAATATTATTAAAGAAGAGTTAATCTGAACATTAACTGTGGTCAGGTCCAAGTTAGAAATGAGATAAACTCAAAAGTAAAAAAAAAAAAAAAAGGTACACTCAAAAACTGTTCCAGTTTTGTCCTTTATTGGGTTGTGGAAATAAAGACATGAAAATGACACAAGAGTAAGAAAGAGTTAAAAGTAAGACTACTTAAAAAAAAAAAAAGACTACCTCTAAAACCAGCATATTTTATTTACCTGATATATTCCACTAACATTTTTAACTCTTCTTTCCCCCAGATTTTTTTTCTATAAACAATTTCATGTCATTTGCCTGAGACAAATGAAGTACTGTAGTCGGAAGTATTTTGTGAGGCATTATGAACTATAACTTTCCCCTCAAAAAAGATATTTTTTTAAAAAAACCACAAATATAGGCTAACATCTGCTCAGGATCTTTTTTTTTCTGAAAATGTTATTGGTGTTTCTATATTCACATGATTTAATTTTATAAGACAATTCTTCAAGAGCAAAGATTTTTCATAATAAAACTGTGATCTTTTTCCCCTAATAACATAGTATGGTAAACTGAATCGAATGCTTCCCCATCCTCAGATTCTTAATTTGTAGTTCATAATATTCATGATATTCGATAACCCATACTCTCCACACTCATCAGGATGACTTTTTACTTTCAGTAGGCCGAAGTGCAGGGTGTGATTTAATATTAACCTTACTCATGGTACCTAAAAAGAAAGCAAATGGTAGAGCAGCAGCTTGGGTGACAAGAACAAGGAGGATGGTTCACAACAATATATCCATTCTTTTCTCTATGAAAAATGTAGAACTATCAATTTCCAATTGATAGGCAATAGGTTATATAAGTGCAAATAAGTCATCCAGAAAAGGGAGGAGAGAGAGTTCCGGTAAGAAAATAGGAGTGACCGCTTTTGAGGAAGACTAAAGGCAAAAAAAAAAAGAGGAGTTTAACAGAATCCATTCCCTTGTAAACAGTGCTGTGGAGTGGAAGAAGTATTTTATAGCAAGGTTCAACACACAGCTAATGAATTGTACACAGGTGTGGATCATCTGATGTCTTCCCATGTCCAAGTCAAAAACAGACACAATCAAACATAAAGTTAAAAAAACAAGTCACCCAGTTGAAGCAACTGAGGCTTGGAGGATAGGTAATTTGTTCAAAGCTATATAGCTAATCAGTGGCAGAGCCCTGACTGGGACATAGTTTGAAGGTGAGAAACTTCATCAAAGCTACTTGTCCCAGGAGGTGTCAAATGTTTATTTTTTTCAACTATTCTTTCCATTATGTCCTAATTTTTACTACATATTAAGTGCTACTTTATAACTGATACATAGGATAATCTTAAATATATACATTTTCAAATTAGACAGCACCACATTAATGCTTAGGTGGTAAAATTGTATTTTTTTTAATTAATTTATTTTAGTTTTTCGGCGGACACAACATCTTTTGTTTGTATGTGGTGCTGAGGATCGAACCCGGGCCGCACGCATGCCAGGCGAGCACGCTACCGCTTGAGCCACATCCCCAGCCCGTAAAATTGTATTTTTGAAGTCTGATGTTTGCAGATATGCACACAGGTTTTTGACATTTACTATGTTCATTATGTATCATTAAGGTAACATTTAAAATTATTATATATTTTGTCATTTTGTCTATACTTATTAACAAATTAGCATTTTCTAATTGATGTAACAAAAGCTTTGATGTAATCTGTTAGATTTTGCATTTTTTTTTCATTACTGTTACATTTAACCTCAAGAATGACTGATTCACTGGGTTGGGTGGTGCATGCCTGTAATCCCAGTTACTCAGGAGGCTGAGGCAGGAAAATAAAATATTCAAAGCCAGCCTCAGCAACTCAGAGAGGCCCAAAGCAACTTAGTGAGACCCGGTCTCTAAATAAAACGTAAAAAGGGCTGGGGATGTAGTTCAGTGGTTAAGTACGCCTGTGTTCAATCCCCATTAGTCCCCCGCCCAAAAAAAAAAAAATAGAATGACTGATTCCTTACATTATTATATTAATATTGTGAATAATCATGTAAAATGTTTTGAGACAGAGTACTATATTTATTAATATAAATTATGGCTTTTTTTTCCATTTGGTAGGAACCGTTCCATCAGTATAGAAAACTAAGAACATTGTTTTTCACTGTATAATCTGGCATTTGTTGTAAATTAAAGCTTATTTTTCTGTTTAAAAACAAAAATTTGTTCAATAAAGAAAAAGAAGAAGTCACCCAGTAAAAGTTGTTTTATATTTTTGTGGGGTAAGATTAGAAACTGGATCACAGTATGCAACTGGTGCTTCCACTCATCATCCCCCTACTGTAGCATCAAGATAAAAGCCAATGCTGGGCATCATGGCATATGCTTATTAATCCCAGTGGCTCAGGAGGCTGAGGCAGGAAGATCACAAAGCCAGCCTTATCAATTTAGTGAATCCCTATGCTTAGTGAGATAATGTTTCAAAATAAAAAATAAAAAGGGCTGGGACATGACTTAGCACCCCTGGATTCAACCCACAGTACTTTATTTGAAAAAAGGAAAAAAAAAGATAAAAACCACCAAAGTTTTTCAAAGTGAAAGTTCCAACGATGTATGCCAAAGACCCTCAACTAAGACCCTTCTAGGCTTACAGGAGGTACAAATAAGAATTTTAGAGTGTGTGCAGGTTATTTACATGTCCTCTAAATAAAAAATCTGTTATCCTGGAGGGAAGTAGTTCAAAAGTATAAATAACTTTGCTTAGGGAAGAAAGAAATTCATTGATCAAAGCTTCCTGCACTTTAAGACAGCAATAATTAGTTCTACTGTAATGATTTGTTCTATTTAGTTTGTCTGTAGATTATGATCCTGTTAGCTTGAGCATAATGTGTTACAGATGATTTTCTCTACCCTTTTACAATTATTCTTAAATGGAATGTAATTATCTTCTCAAGGAGCTCATTCTCTCTAAGTAATCACCAAGATATCTAGGAAAAAGGAAGTGCTACTCTTTTGTACCACTAGAATAAAGCCACTTCAGTCGTACAATCCTACCTTAGTCTATCTTTAACTATAACCTAGGAGGATGGTCAGTAAATAAATAAAAACTTCATTGCTAAATTTACTGCAGATGGCAACCATACATCAATATAATTAATATCTATTGCTAAATAATTGAATTCAATTTGTCTTCAGCACTTAAAAAAGCTCTGAAATTCTTACTTTAATTTCAACTTGCTCTTCCATTTCTTTAGTTTTTATTGTGGTGTATTCCTTTTCAAGCCTAAGAAGAAAATTAAAAAAAGTTAAATGAAGGTATGTTTTCATTCAAAAGTAGTTATTAGATTATAAAATTTAAAAATACATATTAACATAAAATACAATTTTAATTTTCCTCAGTTTATAATTTGAGATCTTGATATGAGTAAAATCACCTGAAGAGTTACATGGAGTTTTACAAATGATCACTTTGGCCAGGCTCAGTGGCACACACCTGTAATCCCAGTGGCTCAGGAGTTCAAAGCCAGCCTCAGCAACTTAGTGAGGCCGTAAGCAACTTAGTGAGACCCTGTCTCAAAATGAAAGAATTTTTTAAAAGGGCTGGAGATGTGGCTAAATGGTTAAGCACCCTGGGATCAAACCCTACTACAAAAATAAACAAACCAACCAACCAATAATTACTTACAAATGACAAAAATAAGTGCCATACTACAGTAAAGTTTAGAAAGTGAAATACATAAAGTACCAAACACAAAACTAAGTTGACAAATTCAACTCATCCCTAAACCTATGAAAGAACCAACTACCAATTCCCTTCAAATTAAAACACACCTGCACTGTTCAAAAAATCCTAACACTAGCACTGACTTAAAAAATTATGGTAAGGTTAAAGGAGCAATTCTTCCTTATAGAAGAATTCCAATTAAAAATGTCTATAGAAGGAATGAGGCAAATACAAAATTTATCATTAGAATGTCACAATAATAACTGCCACAGGCAAAAAATACCAGTGGATCAGTTAGTGACCAAGGTTTACACAGTCTTAAATTATATTTCTCAAAATATTTAGTAATTACTAAGGGAATATAGTAAATACATGGTACAGAATCCTGGTAGGTAGCACCTGAGCTAACTGATCAAGGCTAAAATCACAGTAATACAAACTGAATATGTGTCCCTGTGAAGATGTAGTAAGACGGACATACTGCTTCTTTGGACTTCTTCCTAGTAATGCATATACCTCAAGTAAAAGAAATCATCAAACAAACCCAAATTGAAGGACCTTCTACAAAATAACTGCCAAGCTCTCTTCAAAAGCATTAAGGTTATGGGGTTGGGGTTGTGGCTCAGTGGTACAGCGTTCGTCTAGCACACATGAGGCACTGAGTTTGATCCTCAGCACCACATAAAAATAAAATAAAGATATTGTGTCCACCTAAAACTAAAAAGTAAATATTTAAGAAAAAGGAGTATTAAGGTTATGAAAGTCAAGAAAAAAACTGTAATCCCAGCTACTCGGGAAGTTGAGACAGAAGGATCCCAAGTTTGAGGCCAGCCTATGCAACTTAGAGAAACCCTGTCTCTAGAAAAGACTAAGAGGCTTGGGAGGCTGAGATAGGAGGATCACAAGTTCAAAGAACTGTCACTGACTAAAGGAGAGTAAAACATGACAAATAAGTTAATAAGCTATTTTACCAACTCTACTATAATTCTAAAATGATCTAATTCTATAATTCTAAAATTATCTTTAAAAATTTCATAGGCCAATCCCACCCATGGTGGTTCATGCCTGAAATCCCAGTAACTCAAGAGACTGAGAAGGATTGCAAGTTCAAGGCTAGCCTCAACAACTTAGCAAGACTCTGTCTCAAAATTTAAAAATTAAAAAGATCTGAGGATGTAGCTAAGTGGTAAAGCACCCCTGGATTCAATCCCCAGTTTAAAATATATATAAAAATATATATTTATATATAAATTAATTAATTATATAAATAATATATTATATATGTATACATACACCAAAAACTAGTCCCATCAAATTAATTTTTTCTGGTTCTCAACCAATTACTGCAAATATTAACCAGATCAGGCATGAAATAATTTAACTGTTGCAAAGATCAAATTCCTCCTCAAAGGACAAAAACCTATTTTCTAACTATATCCATCATCTCACTTAGCTAACAGCAACTTGTTATAGGTTTTTACACTCATTCTGAGACATAAAAACTTGCCTAAGCTCACACATCCCTGACTGCTACAACACTATGTCTCTCATTAAGGTATGAAAAGTAATTTATAAAAGATTCCAGGAGATGCAAAATATTTTGAACAATGGCTGCACTGTTGAAATTAGCATATAGCCTTTGAAAACAACTACTTTGAAGTAATTGATTGTTATGTACTTGATTGTAATGTTATTGATATGTAATTGATTGTTATGTTATTGATTGTTATGTACTATGTGAAAATGTCATTGTTATTCATGCAACCACCTAAAACAAAACAAAGAGTCTTCACTTAATCTTGCTTCTCAATTCAGTCACCAAACATGTTCAATTCAACCTCCTAACAATGCTTTAAAATTCACTATTACTTCTTCATTTCCAAAGACAATGGGGTTTTTGTTTGTTTATTTGTTTTGTATTGGGTGTTTTACAAAAGGGTCCTTTATTTTTTATTTTGGAAAAAAGGTCTTATCCTCCCATGTTCTTGGATAGGCAGAATTAATATTGTCAAAATGGCCATACTACCAAAAGTGCTATACAGATTTAATGTGACTCTATTAAAATTCCAATGACATACTTCACAGAAATAGAAAAAACAGTCAGGAAATTCATTTGGAAAGATAAGAGGTCCAGAAGAGCCAAAGCAATCCTTAGCGAGAAAAAGTGACTCAGGAGGCATATAATACCAGTAAATTACACCGCAGAGCTGTAGTAACAAAAACAGCATGGTATTGGCACCATGTTATGGAACAGAGTCCTGCCAACACAAATACAGTTATTTCATACTAGACAAAGGTGCTAGACAAAGGAGCCATAAACATAAATTTAAGAAAAGATAGCTTCTTGGGCTCCAGGATATGGCTCAAGTGGTAGCACGCTCACCTGGCATGAGTGAGGCACTGGGTTCAATTCTCAGCACCACATAAAAATAAAAAATAAAGGTATTGTGCCCACTTAAAACTAAAAAATAAACATTAAACAAAAGAAAAGATAGCCTCTTCAAAAAATGGTGCTGGGAAAACTGGAAATCCATATGTAGAGAATAAAATTGAACCTCTATCTCTCACCCTGCACAAAAGTCAAATCAAAGTGGATCAAAGACCTAAGTAAAAGACCAGAGACTCTGCAACTACTAGAAGAAAAGACAGGCCCAACTCTACACCATGTCAGCTTAGGAACTGACTTCCTCAATAAGACTCCTAAAGTGTAAGAAGTAAAATCAAGAATCAATAAATGGTATCAAACTAAAAAATTTCTTCATCACAAAGGAAACAACCAACGTGAACAGAGAGTCTATAGAATGGGAGAAAATCTTTACCACCAGCACTTCAGGTAGAGCATTCATCTCCAAGATACACAAAGAACTCAAAAAAAAAAAAAAAACTTAATACACACACACCCACACACAAAAGAAAAATAACCCAATCAATAAGTGGGCTAAGGAACTGTGAAATACGATCAGTCAAAAAATGTATGAAAAATGTTCAAACATCTCCAGCAATTACAAAAATGCAAATCACAGCTACACTGAGATTCCAATTCACTCCAGTCTGAATGACAATTATCAAGAATACAAGTAAAGGCTGGGCATGGTGGCACACGCTGTTCATCTCAGAGGCTTGGGAGGCTGAGACAGGAGGATCATAAGTTCAAAGCCAGCCTCAGCAAAACTGAGGCACTAAGCAGGGCTGGGGATATGGCTCAGTGGTTGAATGTCCCTGAGTTTGATTCCTGGTATCAAAAATAAAAAATAACAATAAATGTTGGCAAGGATGTGGGGGAAAAGGTTCACTTACACATTATTAGTGGGTCTGAAAATTGGCGCAACCACTCTGGAAAGCAGCATGGAGATTCCTTAGAAAACCTGGAATGAAACCACCATTTGACCCACTTATCCCACTACTTGATTTATACCCAAAGGACTTAAAATCAGTATACTACAGTGACACACCCACTTCAATGTTTACAGCAACTCAATTCACAATAGCCAAGCTACGGAACCAATCTAGGTGCTCTACAACAGATGAATGGATAAATAAAATGTGGTGTATATATACACAGTGGAATATTGACTATAAAGAAGAATGAAATTATGGCCTCTGTGGGTAAACAGATGGAACTGAAGAATATCATGCTAAGTAAAATAAGACAATCTCAAAAAAACCAAAGACTAAATGTTCTCTCTGATATGTGGATGCTGGGCCACAACAAGGGAGGAGAAGATTAGAAGTTCATTAGACAAATAAAGAAGAATGAAGGAAAGTTAGGGGGGATGGAAAGATGGAAATACAAAAAACAGTAGAATGAATATCTTTCCTATCCTTATACATGAATATACAACCAGTGTAATTCCATGTCACATACAACAACAATAATGGGATCCTAATTAGAACAAGTTATACTGATTCTATGCATGTATAATATATCAAAATATACTCTACTGTCATGTGTATCTAGAAAGAAGAAGTAAAAAAAAGAGAGAGAGAAAGAGAGAAGGAAGGAAGGAAGGAAGGAAGGAAGGAAGGAAGGAAGGAAGGAAGGAAGGAAAGGAAAGGAAAGGAAGGGAGAGAGAGAGAGAAAGGAAGGAAGGTAGGTCGGTCGGTCGGTCGGTCTTGCAAAGTTACTGAGGGTCTCAGTAAGTACATGAGGCAGGCTTTAATATTAGAACAGTTTTAGACTTACAAGAAGGTTATAAAGACAGTACAGAGTACTTAGTACCTCATCCCAGTTTCCCCTATTATAACATGGTACACTGTTACATGTAATGAACCAATATTAATATATTATTGTTAACTAAAATCCATTCCTAGATTTTGCTTAATGTTCTTTTTCTGTTCCAGGATACCACATAAAATTTAGTTTTCATGTTTCCTTAAGCTCATCTTGACTGTAACAGTTCCTTTTTCTTTTCTTTCCTTTTTTTTTGGGGGGGGGGAGTGGCGGGGCGGTGGCGATGGGGCGGCAATGCTGGGGATTGACCCAGGGGTGCTCTACCTTATATCCCCAGCCCTTATTTTTTGAAATAGGGTCTAAGTGTCAAGGCTGGTCTCAAAATTAC